TATAACACAGCTGTAGCAATCAAGACAGTATGGTATTGGAAAAAAAGAAAAAAACTGACACAGAGATTAATGGAATAGAGACCCAGAAATGGACCCACAAATATAGGGCCAGCTAATCTTTGACAAAGCAGGAAAGAGTATCCAATGGAAAAGAGACAGTATCTTCAACAAATGGTGCTGGGAAAACTGGACAGTGACATGCAGAAGAATGAAACTGGACCATTTTCTTACATCATACACAAAAATAAATTCACCTAAAGGTGAGACAAGAAACCGCCAAAATCCCACAGGAGAAAACAGGCAGCAACCTCTTTGACTTCGGCTGTAGCAACTTCTTATTGACATGTCTCCAGAGGCAAGGGAAACAAAACCAAAATGAACTATTGGGACCTCATCAGATAAAAAGCTTCCTGCTGCAGTGAAGGAAACAAATCCAGCAAAAGTAATGACAACAACAACTGGCCAGACGGGAAGACATTTACAAATAATATATCTGATAAAGTTATTATCCAAAATCTGCAAGAATTTACCAAACTCAACACCCAAGAAGAAGAAATAATCCAATGACAAAATGGGCAGGAGCAGGAATAGACATTTTTCCAAAGAAGATATCCAGATGGCTAACAGACCCATGAAAACATACTCAACATGCTCACTCATCAAGGAACTACAAATCAAAACCACAATAGTTACCTCACATACCAAGCCAGAATGGCTGGAAATGAACAAAACAACAATAAGTTTAGTGGAGTGTGAAGAAAGGAACCCTTTGCTGTTGGTGGGAATGCAAAACGGGGTAGCCACTCAAATCAGCATAGGGCTCATTAAAGTAAAATAGTACTATCCTGAGCCAGCAATTGCACTGCTTAGGTATTTTATCAAAAGATGCAATACGGTTCGAAGGGCACATGCCCCAATGTTTATAGCAGCAAATATCGCTATAGCCCAAGTGTCCATTGAATGATGAATGGATAAGGAAGATGTAACTACACACACACACACACACACACACACACACACACACACTGGAATACTACTCATTGATGAAAAAAAAACTACCTTGCCATTTTACAGCAATGGCAATGGATAATTTTAAATTATTATGCTGAGCTACATAAGTCAGTCAGAGAAAGACAGGTATCATATGATTCACTCATATGTGGACTTTGGCTCAACATATAACAGAGGGGAAGGGAAGGAAAATAAGATAAAAATAGAGAGGAAAGTAAACCACTAAGAGACTCTTTTTTTTTTTAAGTTTATTTATTTTTGAGGGACAGAGAGCAAGCTGGAGAGGAGCAGAGAGTGAGAGAGAGAATCTCAAGCAGGCTCTGTGCTGTCAGCACAGAACCTGACTCGGGGCTCAATCCCACAAATGCAAAGGAAGTCATGCTGGTAAAATCAAAGAGTTGGGGCAGCTCAACAAGAGCCACCCAGGCTCCCTAGAGACTCTCACTGCAAATGGGAACAAACTGAGGGTTGCTGGAGGGGTGGTGGGTGGGGGAATGTCTAAATAAGTGAAGGGAATTAAGGAGGGCACTTTTTGGGATGAGCACTGGGTGTCATTTGTAAGAGATGAATCACTAGGTTCTGCTCCTGAAGCCAAGACTACACTGTATGTTAACTAACTTGAATTTAAATTAAAAAAATAAAAAGAAAACCCAAAAGACTCTACCAAAAAAATACTAAAACTGATAAATGAATTCAGTAAAGTCAAAGGATAAAAATCAATTTATGTATGGAAATCATTGCATTTCTATACAGTAATAATGAAGTAGCAGAAAGGGAAATTAAGAAAACAATCTAATTTATAATTGCACCCAAAATAATAATATATCTAATAATAAACAAGGAGGTAAAAGACATGTACTTTGAAAATGATAAAACATTTATGAAAGAAGTTAAAGATGACACAAACAAATGGAAAAATATTCCATGCTCATGGATTGGGAAAACAAATATTGTTAAAATGTTCATTCTACCCAAAGTAATCTACAGATTTAAAGCAATTCCTGTCAAAATACCAATAACATTTTTTTTTCAGAACTAGAACAAATAAACCTGAAATTTGTATGGAACCACAAAAGACCCCGAATACACAAAGCAATCTTAAAAATGAGAACAAAACTGGAAGTATCAGAATCCTAGATATACAGATATACTACAAAACTGTAATAAACAAAACAGCATGGCACTGGCACAAAAATAGACATAGATCCATAAAAGAAAATAAAGATCCCAAAAATAAACCCACAACTACATGGTCAATTAATCTGTGATAAAGGAGGCAAGTATATGCAAAGGGAAAAAGACAGTCACTTCAACAAATAGTGTTGGGAAAACTGGACAACTACATCCAAAAGAGTGAGACTGGATCACTTTCTTACACCATAGACATAAATAAACTCAAAATAGGTTAAAGACCTAAATGTGACACCTGAAATCATAAAAGTCCTAGAAGAGAGCACAAGCAATAATTTGTCGACATCAGCAGTAGTAAAATTTTTCTATATATGTCTTCTAAAGCACAAGAAACAAAAGCAAAAATAAACTCTGGAGACTACATCAAAATAAAAAGCTTTTGCATAGCAAAGGAAATAATGAACATAACTAACAGACAACCTACTGAACAGGGGAAGATATTTGGAAATGAAATACCTGCGAAGGGGCTAATATCCAAAATATACAAAGAACTTATACAATTCAACACCACAAAAAAAATTAATCCAATTAAAAGATGGGAAGAAGGCTTTAACAGACATTTCACCAAAAAAGATATAAAAATGGCCAAGAAGCAATTGAAAAGTTGGTCAACATCACTGATCATCAGGAAAATGCAAAACAAAACCACAATGAGATATCAACTAACACCTGTCACAATGGCTAAAATCCAGAACACAAGAAAGAAGTTTTGGTGAGGATATGGAGAAAAATGAATTATCTTGTATTGTTGGTAGGAATGCAAACTGTGCAGGCACTGTGAAAAAAAGTATGGAGTTTTCTCAAAAAATTAAAAATAGAATTACCATATGACCAAGTAATTCCACCACTGGGCATTTACCCAAAGAATATGAAAACACTAATCTGAAAATATATGAGAGCCAGTATGTTTATGCAGCATTATTTACCATAACCAAATTATGGAATCACCCCAAGTGTCCACTGATAGAAGAATGACCAAGGAAGATGTGGTATACATATAGGATGGAATATTTTCGATCATAAAGAAGAATGAGATGTTGCCTTTTACAAAAACATGGATGGATCTACAAAGTATAATGCTAAGTGAAGTAAGTCAGTCAGAGAAAGCCAAATACCAAATGATTTTACTCAAATGTGGAGTTTAAGAAACAAAACAAATAAACAAAAAAAAAAAGGAATGGACAAAATTAGACTCTTAAATATTGAAGACAGACTGGTGGTTACCAGAGGGGAGGTGAGTGCGAAATGGGTGAAATAAGTGAGAGGAATTAAAAGCACACATAGCATAATGATCGCTGAGTAATGTATAGAATTGTTGAATCACTATATTGTACACCTGAAACTAATATAACTCTGCATGTTAATTAAACTGGAATTTAAAAATAAGTGAATACAAATAAAAACAAAATAAATTCATTTAAAAATATTTTTTAAAAAATCATTTCAAACAATGCTCTAGGTTCTTGTGGTCTATATAGTGACAAAAAGCAAAACGGTTAATGTAGCCTAGAGAAAGTCCTTGACTGTATACTGCTGCCTACACCTGTTCAATAGAAACTGCTCTTGGCATATTTTCTGGGTGGGAATTAACTGAGAATACATCAGCCAGAATAATATCTGTATAGTAAATTGCCAGAGACTTTGTCAGCTTTAGTGCAGATGCCATATTTGACACAACAATTATACTGAAACTATAACTTGGTAAAATTTACTTTTGTCCACCTTTATCTGCTGTGAACTCTGGTTTATGCAGGGACTATCCTAGTGAATTTAAATGGATATGTGTTTGTGGACCACCACTCTATACCTTTTCAAGTCTCTGTACTATTACAGCACAGGATGCAGTTTGGGTTCTGACTCACTAAATTGATCATAATAAGGGGAGTTGTTCTTTTTTGGTTCAGAGGAAATACAGGATGCACTGATGAGTAAGTTATTGCTGTGCACAACTGGGCCTCAGTCCCAATGGGAATTCATGAGAGATATTAAAAAACAATATTCTATTTTTTTTTTAATATCTAACAAAATTCCCAGAACACAAAGTGTGCCTAGAAACTCTCCAATTAATATGATACAATGTTCATATAATATGTTTTAAACATTTTAAATTATTATTATGGGATCATGTATTATAATCCTTATAATTCTTCAGTCATTAACAGAGCTATGTTTGCACACCATAAAGTATGATACCCTAGATCCAAAAGATAAATGTCCAAAGCACAAACACAACGGGGAGGAGAATTTAGAAGCCCATTAAATCTAATCAGATTCATTGCTAATCACTGCACAATGAGAAACCCATGCAAAATCCCAACCCTCTTGCAATGCACATTTCAAAAGACCGCCCAATTTCAGACCAAATTATAGACCACAAGCAACTTTCCATCATTCAGGACTGAAATTTCACCCCTATGTCTTTGTCTCCAAAATGCTCCCTTCGATAAAAATAAGAATAAAAATACATTGCATATTACACAACTACCCCAAAATATGCAGAGTTGTATAGTCAAGAACACAAAGACATGGCATATTAATAGCTGTATATTCAAGAATAAAATTCTCACTAAGGTACCTGTCCAAGAAATCCCAGTATTTTGTCAAAATAGGATAATGTGCATGGTGGAAAGGCAAAGGGATCAAGGATATTGTTAAAGTAAAAGTGAGAGAAAGGGAAACATACAATGAAACTTCAGTTTTTTAAAGACACAATATCCAATAGCTATGAATTCCAGCCCACTCACCCATCATTGATTCAAAACTCATCCTATATTAGGAATGCAGAGATCTTGTCCTTATTAGCACACTTTCTTCAGTAATCTCTGGATTCCTTGCTTGATCTCCTGGGTCCGCACTCCATACACAACGGGGTTGAGGGCTGAGAAGATGACATGGTGGAGGACGTTGAGCAAGACTGGAACATCAGGCGAGACCTTCTTCTTCACCACATGAGTGAGCACGAAGACCAGAAGGATGGTGCTGAAGAAGAGGATAAGGATGAAGTGGGAGCCACATATGCTCAGGGCCTTGGCCACAGCACCTTCTGCCTTGAGTCTCAGCACAGCTCGCAATATGAGGGTGTAGGAGAAGAAGATGAGGATGAGGTCAGATCCTAGCAGTGTCCAGCCTGCAACAAACTGGTAGATGCGACTAATGGTGACATCATTACAAGAGAGCCTGGAGACAAACATATTGGCACAGATGCAATTGTCAATGACATTTGTCCCACAATAATGGAGTTGGGATGATAGAATGGGGATAGGCATTGTAACAATACTATTCCTGGCCAAAATAAAAATGGCAGCCTTGGCTACAAATTGGTCAGTGATGATGGATGGGTACCTCAGTGGGTGGCAGATGGCCACATAGCGGTCATAGGCCATGACCATGAATGTGCAGGATTCCATAGCAAAGAACCAATTCATGATGTACATCTGGAGGAAGCA